GTTTATCACTTCTCTGTGCCATTACATTCAAAATCTGCCTTGTTCACACACCTTTATTTTTATTTTCTTTATTTTACTTAGAAGAAAAAGATAATTTTCCTAGTTGTAGATCCTGGAGAGCAGGATCAAAAGATAAATTATCTTATCCATTTCTTTATTATTTAATTTCCTGTATTCATCAGGACAGCCAATTATTAAGATTTTATTCATTGTGCAGTATATTTAACAAGATATACTATGTTATATGAACAAATATTGAATCAGCTCCAGAGAGATCTCATTTTTATGTTCATGATCATACAGTGAAATTATTTGGTTTTAGTATGAACAATTAATACTTTAACCTTCCAAGCACCACCTATATTACATGGTGTTTTTTATTACTAGGTAACTAATATTAGTATACAATCAGGAAAACAACATCTACTTAAACTAGACAATTTCCAGGTATTTTGGAGTAATATTTCCAAATTGGCTAGGAGCTCTGAAAATAGTCTAAGACAGTGTTTCTCAACCTTAGCCACTTTAAGAGATCTGGACGTCAACTCCCAGAATTCCCCAGCCAGCACACTAGGGAACTATCTGCAGTGCCTCTGGGAACTATCAGAAGATTGTTAAGCTTTTAGATATCTCAGTTTAAAAATTGAACTGCTGATAATTATTGGGTAGATTAGAAATATAATAAATAAATAGCTATGATAATTTCAAGTATCTTTCATTCTGATTGATTATGTGCCATCAAGACAGTGTCTACTCTTGTAACCACATATATTTTCTCCTGGATGATCTGTCCTCAACTTGGTCCTTCAGGTGTTCCAAAATGTGTGCATAACTGCTATCATCTAATCAATCCAACTTGCTATTGGTTGTTCTCTACTGCACTTTCCTTCCAAATTTCCCATCAGTACAGACTTTTTCAGAGAGCTAAGCCTTCACATATAATTTCAAAGTGTGGTACTTTGAGCCTTGTCACCAACTCAGAACTCTGATTTGATACATTTGGTATCAATGATATACATAAAATGCTGATAATTTGTTTGTTCTTAGTTGTTCATGGTGTTCTCAGGACCAAGTTCCAACACCAAAGTTCAAAAGCATCAATACTCTTATTCTGCTTCTTCAAAGTCCAATTTTCTTGTTCACAGAGTGTCAAAAGGAAAACCACTGCTTGCACTATTCTGTTCTTTCTAGATCTAGGTCCATACCATCTTCTGAGAATCTTCTTCAAGGCTTTTATTGCTACTCTACAAAGTCTAGCCTGCAGCATATGTTTTAATTGCTGATTTCTTTTCTTTTGATACTCAAACCTAAATGACAAAAAATTCTACCACTTCAGTATTTTCAGTCTCAATTCTAAGTCTGATTGCTGTATCCATTATCATTAGCTCTTTATATGAGGACCCAGATTGTTGGGGGCAATGTAAATATATATATACATTGCTTACTGGTGTACACCGCTTAGAGAGTGCTTGCACTTAAAGCGGTATATAAGTCTCATAAATAAAATAAATAAATAAATATTTAATCTTACTTCTGTTTTTTCATTATACTCCTTGACTTTCATTACTAGAGCTTGCAGATCATTTGCATTTTCAGCAATCAGTCATCTGATAGAGCAACTATGTTATCAACATAGTTCAGATTATAGATTTGTCTTCCTCTAATTTTAAAATTTGCAAAATACTGCTTTTCTGTGATGTGGTGGAGAGGCTCACATTTCCTATTTAATGTGTATGGTGTTGGGATTTGGGATTTTTTTCCCTCATTAAATTAAAAGGCTTTAGCTTTGATGAGGAATCTTGTTAACATGGTGCAATTTCCAAACATTTAGGAAATGCTATATTTTCTCTTAGACTTATAATTCTGTTTTTTAAAATACATTTAACATAATCTCCTGCTCTCAAAGGGACTATAATGGAATTGATATGTTTAGTTTAAATTATGATGCTAACTTGGGGATGCAACAGTATCTCTGAAAAATAGTATATTTATATATGCATGTGTAGTAGAGTATTAGCAAACAAAACTTTCCCATTCTTATAGCAAATAGTGTTTTTCAAATTAAAAAAACTAACTATGTCTGGTGAAAATACTGTAATAGTATCCCTTCATCTATTTCCCTCAATCACATGTCATAGTCCAACACTCTTTGAAAGTCTGACCTGACTAATTCTGCAGATAGTTAATTGCAGAACTTTAAAGTGTATAGACATATGTTTAAAAGTGTAAGCTTTTCATATTAGACAAATGTTACTTGACATATCATTTATTTAATTATTGGAGTTTTTATTGTTTGAATGTTTTTGTTTTAGAATTTTAGAACTGTTAAGTCAGCCAGAGTCACTTGGTTGAGTTGAGAAGATATAGAAATTGAATGAATGAATGAATGAATGAACCACAGCACCTGACAATCTGAATGGTCAGTTGCTTGATCTGCAGGAACTTTGCCTTCGCCCTGCATCCTCAAACCTTTACTGCCTGGGCTTTAACTATTCAAGGAGATCATGAAGAGGAAAAGTGACTTGATACCTCTGTAGCTCTTTCTCCTCTTAGAAACTACCTGAATACTTGCTATGAGGCATCTGCATTAGTTGTCAGTGTATTTCCAAGTTTGCTTCAAGGTGTTATTTCTAATGCAGTCCTAACTGAACTTAACACAAATATCTCAGCAGATATATTTTGATCTTCTGTAATCTGGTTTCCTTCAAATGTTATAGAATACTACCATTCCTAGAATTGCCAGCTTGCATAAAAATCAATAAAATTAGGGACTCTGGCAGCTCGTGTTCATTTGCAATGTCTCAATATGCCATCTTATCTAGTTTAATTTGAGTTAATGAGAACTCTAGGACATATTTTAAAATCTGGAGAGGTTTTCTCCAATTTGGCACCCTCCAAATGTATTATGGCTAAAGTTTCCCAGATATTCCCAGAAGCCATGGTATCGTAGTGGTTAAAATGCAGTATTGCAGGCTAGCTCTGCCCACTCTCAGGAGTTTAATCCTGATTGGCTCATGATTGACTTAGCCTTCCATCCTTCCAAGGTCAGTAAAACAAGGATCCTGATTGTTGGGAGCAATATGCTGATTCTGTAAAACACTTAGAGAGTGCTGTAAAGCACTATGGCGTAGTATATAAGCCTAAGTGCTATTGCTATTATGACCATAGGCTGACATGGAATTCTCTGAGGTATAGTCCCAAAACATCTGGAGATCATCAAAATGGAGAAGGCTACTCTCTGGAGCATGTGAATAGTGATTTTAAGTACACAACATATATACCACATGATTTCAGAGAACTTCAGTGCAAGGCAGTTGTGATGTAAAATTAATTACCAATGCAATTTTGTTTTCAAGGTGACTTGCATTCCTGCATTTTACTTTTAAAAATCTTAAGAACTGGTCCAGTTTAATTATGAAACAAAATGGAACACTTGCTTTGTATAGTAGATTTAAGAATTGTGATTTCCAAATCTCTAAAATGTTTCTTTACAAAAAAAGCAAGTTATGCTGACATTTTTTGATGCTTCGGAACAAAAGTTAATTTGATTATAGTCTGGGCAAACAAAATATTATTCGTGCAGAATAGACTTTAAGACTTCACTTTCAAAATATATACTAACATGTATTTTTCAAAAGAAGGCTGATATTTAAAGCATATATAATATGTGCACTATATAGCAATGGTTCTCAATTTGTGGTTTGCGGATTCCTGGGAGAGGCACGATGTTGTCACAGGGCAGTCCACGAAGGCTTGAAGAAATGTTATGATTTAAATCCTGAGCTAAGTCTTTGGGGTCCGTGGCCATGGTCTGTGGCCACAAAAGGTATTTAAAGGGGGTCCATGGTGAAGAAAAGATTGAGAACCACTGCTATATAGCATACATTTAAACTCAAGTTTCTAAACCAATATAATGAATTGCTTAGCAAAAATAAATACATATTTACATTTAAAAAGAAGCGGTATTTCTGAAAAAAGTACCATAGTGATCTTAAATGATTTAGGCAAATTACTATTATTTCAAAGAAGTATTAGTTTATGTGAGCTTCTTAACATTTTTATAAGCATTGCATTAATTTTTAAAAATATCCAATAAATAGGAAAGATTTTTAGTCCATTTATCTTTTTTAATCAATTAAGTTTTGCTTATCTAAATATGAATATATTCTGAACTATGCACATTATTACTCTATAAGCGGAAGCTTAAAGATATCCATTTATCTGTTTTCCCGTCCCCCAAATATCTCACAGATTTTCATCCCTTCCTGTTAGAGATATACATTTGCAGCAAGAAATCTTTAACATGGGAAAATTTGCATATAACTTGAGCCCAAGTTCACATAGTTCCAGCTTATACTATTTACACACATGAACATAATGGCCTAACAACAGCAACACTGAATAATATTATACAAATAAAATTAAACTTCCAGATATTCACAAGCAATTTAAGCCTTGTGCCACTCATTACTATCGATGTCATAGAAAAGATTCAAGGATTATTCATGTATTTTGCTATTGCTAGTTACATTTGAAAAGGAAATGATAAATTCAATAAGGATATTTACATCACATAATATATCTGAATTCTCTGAATATTTATGGTGCAGTGGACAGATGCCTACAAAAGGCCTAAATGTTAAATTTTAGAATATATTTTATCTCTTTCTACTGTTTGTACAGCATGTTTAATACACTTTTATTTTGCTTTGCAATAAATTCTTCCTCATTACTTCCAGACTTCATGTGACCTAGCATTAGCAGAACAAAATGGTTTTCAGGTGTAAAAGTTTTAAGAATTATTCCCAAGATACAAAACAAAATCCTTTTACAGAGGCCTCTGATAACAGCCAAAAGAGGTCACACATCAGGTTATCATGAATCAGAATGAAGACTGAAAGATACAACAAATATCAGAAAACCATACCTGTCATTACCTGTGAACATCTCAAGATTCAGTATTAGGTTTCCCTGTTAAGTACATTGAAATATAAGCATACCTCAGATATTGCAGGTTCAATTCCAGACTACAACAATGGATATTGAAATAAAGCGAATCACGTTTTGGTTTCCTAGAGTATAAAAAAGTTATGTTTATGCTATATTGCACTCTATTAAATATGCAATAGTATTGTGTCTTAAAAATGTATGTTCTTTAATTAAAAACACTTTATTGCTAAAAATAATAATCATCATCTGTGTCTTCAGCCAGTTATAACATTTGTCTAACCAATTAAGGACAACAATCAGTGGTTGTTTTTCCCTTTCACCTTGTGGAAGGGAAACACCACTAGGAGAATCTATCATATACTATCCTTCATATACTATCATATACTATCCTTATTCTCCATTAAAGCTGTTAAGGACACCACTGGTATGGCATTAGGATGAACCCAGAGCATTTATGCTTGCATAATTATCTGCCAACTCAAGGAATGAGAGTAAATGAATAGTAATGGTAATATTGTATCGTTGTATTGAAATGTCTTTTTTTCTTCTTCTTCCATTTAGTGGTGCCTGATTCTCAGAGACCACCTGAAAAGTCCCTCCAGTTTTCTTGGCAAGATTTCAGAAGTGATTTGCCAGCGCCTATTCCTCAAGGCTGAGAGAAAGTGATTAGCCCCATGTCACCAACTGACTTTGGATCTTAGGCAAGACTAGAATTCAGTCTCCCAGTTTCTAGCAAACTGGCTCTCTACTGAAAAGGTATATTGTACCGTAACTGAGAAGATGGAGCAAAATATATTTAAAATTAAAAGTCTGGAAAAGACAATCTGCATTTACCTGGTCCTCTTCTTTTTCTTTCATTAAGCAGTACTCTAGGTCATTTTGTATTAAACTAGGAAGGGAAAAGGAAAAAGGGAATCTTTATTTGCAGTACACCTTATAAAGAAAATGGTTGTGTTCACATAAACCACAAATGATAGAGGCTGAGATCACATAAAAATCAACTTTGGCTTAACACAGTACAGAATCCCAATATATCTAAAAAATCCTTAGATTTTCTTTTTTTTTCTCTTGCTCCAAGCCCAAATCTGTTAATTTCTTTTACTGTACTGGATCAGTGTTTCTCAACCTCTGCTGGGGAATTCTGGGAGCTGAAGTCCACACATCTTAAAAGTTGTTAAGAGTGAGAAATACTCACAGGCGCGCGCGCGCACGCGCACACGCACACACGGGGGGGAGGGAGAAATACTTTTAACTACTTGACCCTTTTCCGTGCACAAGAAACTACTCAAGAAATCATAAAATGGCCACAACGTGGACACTGTGGCTTGAGCAAACCATGTTTAAGCAAACCAGGAATTCACTGATATCCAAGTCCTGTGTAACTCCTACATTTTGTCCCAGACAAGAAGAAAAAGGCAATCTCAAGCCGTTGGAAAGACAGGAGGATGCAACAAGCAATCCAGACCGGCCAAGAGCGCAGCATCCCGGGGATAACAGCGCGCAGACCTTCGCTTTTGGACACACCCCTAAAGTGACTAGAGGTCTGGCGGTCACATGGGCTCTCTCAATCAGGTGGAAGGACGAGTGCTTTGAACTGCGAGCGCTTGAAGACTTTTAAAGTTCAGCCCCGTTTCCGCGGGAATTTCTGCTTCTTCGCCAGAAATGCCTAACTTTGCAAGGTAAAGAGAGAGAGAGGACACTTTGTGTTATCTGTTTTAACCTCCGCCTTCTGTTACACTTTATTTTCCTTTTTGCAATAACCATTGCAAGCCTTCATCTCGGGAGATGCGCTTGCAACGAGAGAGGATGCTTTTAAGCCACCTGAGTCCCACCTGCCTATTTTCTTTCCAGTTTATCTTTATGCAACAGTTTTTAGCCTTTCTTCTCCGCCCTTCCTCATTCTCCGTCCTTTGATTCGAAGGTCCGTCTGTCAGTCAGCAGCTTGACTTTTGCCTTTCCCCACCTTCCTGATGGAGGGTTGATGCCCCGCCTTCTTCCTCTGCTTTTGTCCAGCCTTTTTGAAATAGGCTCCGATTGGGTCGATGACGTGCTTGTCCTGCCGCCGGTCCAATCGCAACTGTTTTGCTTGCTAACGAGCGAGCCGGGAACCTGCAAGTACGGTAAGTGCGCGACTGTAGGAAGGGGAGCGCAGCAGCTTTTAGGAAGAGGAGGCATGGAGGGTCGTGGGAACGCGCCACGGCCTTCATAGCCTAGGAGAGCAGCCAGGCTTGGCTCCGAAAGTGCGGGAAAACATCACCAGGGGGATTTTCTGGGAATGGAGACGATTGGAAAAAGGGCAGATGTACCCCACAGTTGATATTTCTAAAATACATTTATAAACACGCGCAGGAACCTAGATTTAAGTGCCCCGTGAGACACTCAATGAAGGCTGGCATCACGGACCCAATTTGGCAGCTAATGGTCTGCCATCCTTTATATCTCGTTCAGAGCACGGCTTTGAAAGGAAGGGATTTGGGTTCTGAGCCTTTTGCTTCTCGGATTTTGCCATGCACGATTTCCAGACGTCCAACTTCTACTTAAGGAAATTCCCATATAGACTGATGGGAACCGGAGTGGAAGTAACCAGGGTAATCAGTAAAGGAACTCAAATAACTACAGACCAGCTTGCTGAAGCTTCAATCAGCCCCAGTCAACATAGTCATTTTGACTACTAGGTAATGGGAGCATAACTGGGGAGCACTAGTCTATAGAAAGTTGAACAAAAACGTGTGTGTGTGTGTGTGTGTGTGTATGGGGCTGAGTATGTGTACATTTATTTTCATACACCCCACCATGGGAAAGGCCAATGGATGGATGGAAAATTTGAGTCTCCAATTCAAACTTTAAAAACATAGGATTACTTTTGGCTTGGCTATATTATATCAGGCTTCAAATGCAGGCATTTAATTTGTTGTAGTGTTTTGAGGTAGTTGCTTTTTCAGAGTTTATTATCTTGTTAATTATCTACATTAATTAATGTCCTCCTTTTAAAATCCAGATGCCTGCAGGCAAGGCTGGGTGAAGTATTGTCATATGATGGTGTGCTGAATCTAATAATTGAACTTTTACATGAATAAAAAATTGCAGTGATTATAATGGCAGTTCCTAAGCACATTGACTTGGAAGAATAATAGTGAACTTACTTCATTAAAGAATAACATTTGAATTATATACAGTATCAAGGATGAATACTACATGAATACAATTCTTTTACAAATAAAGTCAAATTGCATCACTTTTTCAGTTCAGAAAAGTAGCTTATTCATAGCTACTCCAAATTGTTGAATTTTAATATATGTAGTTCTCTTTGGATTCAAGTAATGAATAGATTATGGGAGCTAGCTCTATAGAGCACACAGTGATTCTTCTATTAAATGTGATGCATATATGTTCTTTAAAACAAATTTCTGAGTGTGCATTTCTTTGAAAGCAGCATATTAAACATATAGCGGGTACTGTGTTTATACAATCAGGCCTACCAAACAAGGAACCCCAGGATAATTGGTAAAATTTGTAGATTTGTAGAATGTTAATGCTTGGCTTCCCTTTTGACAGCAAGGGCATAAAGAAGAGAATGGCTGGTGACTATGATTTTTTAAAAAGTCTGCAGAATAACTTGCAAGAATTGAACCATCTCCGGGCAAAATACTTAACATCAACGAAAAGTTCATCATCTGTTGGGATTAAGTCGTTGCTTTCTGATCAACAGCAACTGCCAGGGGAGAATATGAACATCCAGTCATTTGCTCCTAGAAAAAGTATTCGCCATCGTAATCCATATTGGCCTGATGAAGAAATACGGACTTTCATTGAGATCTGGGGTGATGACCAAGTCCAAGCCTCACTGGCCACCAACTTTCGGAATGAGGCACAGTATGAGTGGATCTCTGATAGGATGCGAGAATGTGGCTATGACCGGGATATGAAGCAGTGTCGCTTGCGTGCCAAGGAGCTTCGACGAGGATACAAAGCAATTGTTTGTGGAAACAACTCTTCTGTGAGCGGTCAACGCGCCTTGCCATTTTATGATTCTTTGAACAGTTTCCTGTGCATGCACAAGGGTCTTGTGGTGTCCAAAGTTTCTCTATCTACAGATAGGAGGAATCATGAGGTCCAAAAGTTGGGCTTTGAGCAAGAAAAAAATGAAAAGTTAAGTGTTGTCTTGGTTTCTGATGGTGATGAAGCATCCATCCCAGAACCTACAGATGACTCCAATGGCTATTTTCAAGATGCAGGGATGGATTCTGAACCTGTAAATGCCCAGTCTCCAGATGATGAATGGGAACCGCATGAAGAAGATGGCCTTCTTGCGAGAGATGTGGCTTCACCTAGTTTCCCTAATACAAGAGGAGATGGTCATTCCATCAGCTCAGGTGAACATTAAGAATTAGCACCATTTTCAGAAAGACGGGTTTTCTGGCATGATTTAAGCTAAATTAAATTAGGGGAAGCTGTGCTTAATTTCTTTAAAGTGGATAGGGAAATACTATCATTTAATGTTGCGTAATATTTACTGACCTAAGTGCACAGGTTTGGATATTGCTTACTTATTACTTACTTTGCATTTGTTCAGAGGTTGTTTCTTTTCCTAATTTGACTTGCCCCCCCCAGGTTAAATATTAATGAATTCTAGGGAAATTAATGTGGATTGTGGATTGTCTTTGATCACTTAATAACTCCTATTCCTTGTTTTCAATGTAGGCCCATCAGGCACTTTTTCCAGGGCATCCCTGGTTGATGCTGACAGAATAAGCAACAACCACTGGAATAGGAAACAAAGGAGACAAACTGAAACTACTTCAGACATAGTAGATGCCATTTCCCAAATGGGTGAGAGACTAGTAAATGCTCTGTCTGATTTGCACTCAAAACACAGTGAAACCTCTGAACTTGCACAGAGTAGAGCATGTGATTCCCATAAGGAGGAATTTACCATACTTGCCAGTCATGTAAATCAGGCTGCTCAAAACATGGACAAACTGATTGCTCTCATGGAAACGTCAACCAGACGGATAGCAGAGGCCATGGACAGACAGACAGTTGCCTTGGAGAATCTGGCACAATTGTTTGCTGCAAGAGCACCAGCAATTTCAGTGCCCTTGGCATCCCAGGAGCAGTCTATGATGGTGTCTTCTCCCAGAAATTGTGTATCAATCCCATGCCCCCCAGCAGAATTATACAATACTGTGAACACTTTAACAGGAAATTGCACTTCTAATCAGAAAGCACAAGGTTTGCTTGCTGAAGATTCTCAACCAGTGGCAAAGAAAATAAAAACGGAAGAAGACTAATATAATTTGCTCAGAAATCCTCAAATGTTCTGTTCTTCTCTCATAAGATGAACATTTCTCCTTATCACTCATTTTTACATGCAGCTGGGGGAAAATAAGGAAAGTGGATGGTATAAAAATATCATGACTTATTTTTTTAATAAAAAGATTTATAGCTAGAGCAATATATTTATAAGTGTATTTATATATAGCTTGGAAGGATGAATGCTGCCCATTGTGATGAAATTGTACAGTTCATTGACATTCCATTCTGTAGTTTGATTTTTGTTCTGCCGCTTAAGTATGCAACAGGCTGTTGTCCTGTGCACACTTGGACATAAGATATGTAGGTTTTATTTCAGATTGTGATTGCGGTCAGGATGTTGGCTTTGGACCTGAAGAACATATTCAGAATTTAAGCACAGCCATGAAAATAGTAGATGGTTTTTAGTAGATTCTACTGAGGCACAATTTTTTTGATCTCTAGATGGGTAATACAAATGACTTAAATCATTTGCTGATTCAAAGATAAACCATTTAAAAAGTTGTGAATCATTGTGCTCATTTTTACTGGCATAGAAGATAAGAGTAGAGAACTCTTTGTGTGCTATATAAATCCTGTTATTAAATCGATGAGATATACTACTACTATTGGGCTATTTTTCTCCCTAATTTCACTGAAGCCATGTGCCAGATAAATTAATTGGTAACACAAAATTTACTCCATTTTTTTACATACACTTTTTAATGTTATTGTGCTGCTTTTAGAAAATTGCAAGCCAAGCCCCTCAAAGCCGTATTCATGCACCTTGAAGCTGAAACAAAGCCAAATGCATTGGGAAAGGAAGCATAGTTCCATGAGATCTATGCGATTAAAACACTTGTCCTGTTTTAAAAATGAGGAAACAATCTCATTAGTTGTTGAACACCATCCCCCATCACCAGCAGCCACCACATCCCATGGCAGGGCTGTTGAGAGATACGTTCAAGAACATTTGAGGAGCCAGCTAACTTTCTCACCTCTGGACTGAATTCAGCATTTGTTTCTAATAGCAGCAAGCAAAGGGTCTTGGGCAAATCACCAGGAATGACAAACATCTGAGTTCTATGGTGGATATAAAAAATCTATATACCCCTGTTAAAATGCCAAGTTTTTGAGATGTAAAAAAGTCAGAGCAAGATAAATCACTCAAGATTTTTTTTTACCTTTAATATAACATATAAGCTGTACAATACAATTGAAAAGC